TAAATAAGGAAATACTCTAGTTCTTAAAAAATAATATATATTTATGTGAGTACGTGTGTGTTTAAAGGAGTAAAAGGGCAAGACGTTTGCAACCTACTCAAATTTCTCAGAAAAAAATTATTATATATATATAAAACATATGTATACACACACACACACACACACAAGGTGAAAAACAAAACAGCAAAATGTTAAAAATCGGTAAATTTAAGTGATAATATGTTATAGGAAAATTCTCTGTCCATTCCACGATTGGTTCCGGGACTCCCCACATATATCAAATCCTCAGATGCTCAATTTCTTCATATAAAATAGTGTAGTATTTTTATGTAACCTACACACATCCTCCCATATACTTTAAATCATCTCTAGATTATTTATAGCTAATACAATGTAAATGCTATGTCAACAGCTGCAAGCACATGGCGAATTGAAGTGTTGCTTTTTGAAACTTTCTGGAATTGTTTCTCCAGAATATTTTCAATCCTTGGTTGAATCCTTGAATTTGGAACTCGCAGATACAGAGGGCTGACTATATTTCCAAACAAAAAATGCAATTCCAGTTTCTCTCTTATACCAAATTAAGTAGCAAAAACTAAATATCAGACATGTAATTAAACTGTTTACATGCTTTTGATTGCCAAAAGTTGATGCTGAAAAGCCAAGCAGTCTGAGTTGGTCATTTTCTATTTTCTAGGGTAGTTCTGAGAGATTTTCTTTTCTCTCTCCTTTGTCCCACCCCGACCCCCTTTTTTTGAATGATATGGAATAAGACAGAAAGCAGAATCAAGGAATGAGTGTTCTAAGTACCTCCTAAAACACATTCTGGAAACTTGAGCTTGAAACCAATCTAAGAAACCATACTACAGTTACACTTAAAATAATGTTTATATCAACGAACCTTTATAAATTTGGTGTATATAGGAACTCTTATTAATGTTTTCTAAAAAGTACCTAAATAAAAGTTTAAAAAGAGTTACAAAGGTAGCTTAGAGTAACAAAGTTACCAATTTTAAGTGGCGATCAAATAGGAATATAAAGGCAAAAAATCTGGCAATATTCTCTATGCCAAGCCCATATGATGTAGGTAGAATGGTCCCACAAAGATGTCCGGGGCCCTAATCCCTAGAAGCTGTGAATAGTAAACATAGTAAAAGGGACTGTGCAAATGTGATTAAAGTTATATACATCAAAATAGGGGCATTATCCTTGATTACCTGAGTGGGCCTAATCCAACCACATGAGCTCTTAAAAGCAGAAAACTTTCTCCAGCTGGAGTCAGAGCGATGCAGCAGAGGGGAAAGTGAGAAAGATTCAAAGTACGAAAGGAACTTATTAACCCACCACTGCTGAAGGGGGGCCACATGGAAAACATGAGAAGGAATGCAGGCATCCTCCAAGAGCAAAGACTGGCCCCTGGCTGACAGGCTGACAGAAAAACAGGGACCTCAGTCTTACAAGTGCAAGGGGCTGAATTCTGCCAGCTGTAACCACGATGAACCTGGAAGTAGATGATCCCTCAGAGCCCAGTCCAGCCAACATATTGATTTGGGCCTTGTGTGACCAGGTTTAGAGAACCCAGTTGAGCCCAGCCAGATTTCCAACCTATACATCTGTGAGATAAACTGATGTTGTTATAAGCCACTAAATTTGTGGTAATTTGTTACGGCTGCAATAGAAAACTAATACTCAAATAAATATTTTCTTAATTTATATTTCATTCTAGATATTTTAATTAATCAAGACAAATTTAAAAATTTGAAGCAAATGATTTTAATACAGTTCTAGCTTTTTATTTCCTCATCAATTTTGTCACTAAAGGGAAAGATAATGTTAGAGTGATGAGATTGTGAGCACTGTAGAATATCATTTTTAAATTCATAAGTTAATGTTTTGCTTTAGAAAATGTTTTTAAAAAGCCATTTTCTCTAAGAAAGTTTAAATGAAAATTATGACTCAATTGAAGGCAATTTAGTATGAGGGTCTATATATGCCATGTAGACCTGTTTCTGACATATTAATTCATTACATGTATTATCAGCTGGTGCTTAAAGGGTTTTGGGGCAGGGAGTAGGATAATGCTAGAATGGTGCATGAGCTCAATTCTTTGGAATATTCATATTAAGATTATTTCTCTTCTTATTCTGTCAGTGAGTGAATTCCAGGCAATTCTCCAAGGTAAGAAAGTTAAGCTAAAAAGAGCCAACCTAAGGAAGGAACTTATCTTTTTAGCAGAATGCTATGAAAGCTTTTGGTGTTTTTTTTATAACAAGCAGGTATTTTTATAATATAATTTGTCATAGAAGATAACTGACAGGGTACTGATCAAGTTGGGGGAAAATCAGCTAGAGTAATTTGTATTGATTTATCACTACCTTGTAACTGTGGCTAGTAATGTATTTCAGTATACAACCCTCTCTATTAGCCTTTATCTTTTAAGAACTCTTGCATTTAGTATAAAGATTTAAAAGGGCTGAATAGTCTAGGACAGTGCTTTTCACACTTCTATTGTGAAGGATCAGTTTCTATTTTTTTTAAATTTCTTATCAGTTGTGAATCAGAAATTTTATAAAATGTAATAAAACTATATTACTAGAAAAACTAAACAAAAACCCAAGACATACAAGTTTCTTAAATGGCAGTGCCTAGACAGCCATGGTGCTAAACTATGTTTAATGAATGACTCTACTGAATGCAATTTAATATGAGGGTCTGTATATGCCAAGTAGTTGGTCCACAAATGAATATGTCTTCATTGGAAAAGTGACTGTATCTGGTTATGTTACTGAATATATCTGATGAGGGCAGTACCCTCAGACAACTCATAATCAAAAAAACTAAATATTTTATGAGGCTCTAGGAACACATGACACTTCATTTAGAGAATAACATAGCAAGGTAAATTAGCAGTATTAAAGGACTAAATAATCTCTATTTTTTCTGTGATTTTGCCTTTTGGCCTAAACCCTAACTACACCCAAACACATGAATAAAAAGGATGATGCAAAAGTCTAATAAATGCTTAAAGATGAACACCAGACTCTTATGTTAGAGGGTACACTTTCTCCAGAGTGCATCTATAAAGTTTTAACTTGCACTTTTTTTTTTTTTGCGGTACATGGGCCTCTCACTGTTGTGGCCTCTCCCGTTGCGGAGCACAGGCTCCGGATGCGCAGGCTCAGCGGCCATGGCTCACGGGCCCAGCCGCTCCGCGGCATGTGGGATCTTCCCGGACTGGGGCACGAACCCATATCCCCTGCATCGGCAGGTGGACTCTCAACCACTGCGCCACCAGGGAAGCCCTGCACTTACTTTTATGCAAAGAATGTTTTTTTATGTAGAGAATTTTTAAGTGTAATAATGTATACTCACATATACCTTAGGATTCTTTAAATATATTAAATTATACTTAAATATATACTTTATATCTTATATATATTATATAATTATATATTTAAATTATATATTCCACAAGTACCTCTGTTTCAGGGTAAAGTGAGAAAGCATTTAATCCTTTCACACACAGAGCATTTATATTTAGTCTCATACTGTCCATGAAGCCAATAACTGCTTCCTCCTCACAGAATGAAATGTAGCCTCCTGATGCAATCTGCACTGATGACAGCAGAGGTCACTGTCATGTGAAATCACCATTTTTCATTGTATACAAGAATCCTCCCCAGTTAGTAAGTACTAGTTTTCAGAGAGACTGCAATCTTTGTAAATTGTCTTATACACCAAAACTATTTTAAAATCCTGATTTATGTGAATACAAAGTGATATATTTCAACTTATAAATTGAAACCTATCATAAATTTTAAAAAGAAAAATTAATATATTAATAAAATGTTACTACTTTGCATGAATTAGCTTACTGAATCTTTCCTCATAGTATTTCTATTAGTATATGATGCCATTTATATTAAGTTCAAAAAGAAAAAAAAACAGAATATATTGGTTACAGAATAGTTAACTTATAAAACTATACAGGAAAGTTAAGAATGTAATTATCATAAAATACAGGGTAATAGTTTCCTATAGATGGAAATGAAGGGTCTATGACTTAGAAGGTGCATGTATGGGGGTTCAGGAGTGCTGGTAATCTTTCAATTCTTTTTTTTTTTTGCAGTACGCAGGCCTCTCACTGTTGTGGCCTCTCCTGTTGCGGAGCACAGGCTCTGGACTCGCAGGCTCAGTGGCCATGGCTCACGGGCCCAGCCGCTCTGCGGCATGTGGGATCTTCCCGGACCAGGGCACGAACCCGTGTCTCCTGCATCGGCAGGCAGACTCTCAACCACTGCGCCACCAGGGAAGCCCCAATCTTTCAATTCTTGACCTATAATATGGTTACATAGGTTCCTATTTTGTAGCAAGTTATTAAACTGAACATTTATGTTTTATACACACAAAACCAAAATATAGAAGGCCTTATCAAAATTGTTTCATTCCTATAAAGTACAGCTAGCCAATACTAAAAAGAATTCTAGGGATTGAATGGTTAATTGGTCCCAAATAATTTTCTCTAATTGAATTCCCTAATCAGCCCAAAATCTCCACCAAGTTACTACAAATCACTGTAAAGATAGGAAATAGTTCTCAGAAAACCTCTTGTTATTTGTAAGAGGAAGACTTAAGCAGTCTCTTTCTCTATACTTTATTTTTCTGGGTTTTTTTAGTTCTTTTCTTTTCTTGTATAATTCTTGGGAATCTTAAAGTTTCATATATTTTCTTGGTTTCCTTCCCCAGGGACTTTGCTAATATGGATTTGATTCATTCAAATCCTTTTGTTAACTTTTTGAAATGCACAGTAATGAAATAATTATGGAGTTATACTAGACTGACTAAAATTATCTACTTTAATGATTGGCAAAAAGAAAATATTCACTAACTGATTATCCTGTTTAAGAATAAATAAAATATTGATATTCAGGCAAAAGATGAATTTGAGCATGTTAATTACACCTGTGCAAGGAGTCATACAATTCTTACCCTACCTGAAATCACACGCTGTAGTAACCTCTGCTCCTCCACCCAGGGCCCGACCTTGAACTAGTGCAACACTTATTAGAGGAAGTCTGTATATTGAAGGAAAAAGGAAAAAGGGATGTTAATATTTTTAATTTTGATATTAATTTACAAATACTTTTAAAACTTAAGATGCAGTAGCAACAAAATTACTGAACTATGTTTATAAAAATAATCACACCTCAAAGTATAGAACTATTAGCCAATGTATCATGAGCAAAACAGTATAATAATGAAGATAAAATAATTCACACTAAATGCTATGTAAGCTTATCAAAATACCTCCCCAAATCATTATATATTTTTAAACTACAGACATATCAACTTTCTTCCAAATAAATGGATGTTTTTGTATAATGCAGGCACACCTCATTTCATTGTGCTTCGCTTTATTGCGTTGGATTAGGCTTTGGCTAACAGCCAAACTGTGAATACAGAGGAAAAGTTCTTGAAGGAAATTAAAAGGGCTACTCCAGTGAATATATGAATAATAAGAAAGCAAAACAACCTTACTGCTGATAGGAAGAAAGTTTTATTGGTCTAGATAGAAGATCAAATCAGCCACATTTCCTTAAGTCAAAGCCTAATCCAGAGCAAGGTCCTCACTCTGTTCAATTCTATGAAGACTGAGAGAGGTGAGGCAGATACAGAAGAAAAGTGTGATGCTAGCAGAGGTTGGTTCATGAGAATTCAGGAAAGAAGCCATTTCCGTAACAAAAATGTGCCAGATAAAACAGCAAGTGCTGATACAGAAGCTGCAGCAAGTTATCCAGAAGATCTACCTAAGATAATTCATGAAGGTGGCTACACCAAACAACAGATTTTTCAATGTAGACAAAACAACCTTATATTAGAAGAAGATGCCATCTAGGACATTCATGGCTAGAGAGGTGTCAATGCCTGGCTTCAAAGTTTCAAAGGACAGGCTGACTCTCTTGTCAGGGGCTAATGCAGCTGGTGACTACTAGTTGAAGCTAATGCTTATTTACCATTCTGAAAATCTTAGGGCTTTTAAGAATTATGCTCAATTTACTCTGTGCTCTATAAATGGAACAACAAAGCCTGGGTGACAGCACATCTGTTTACAACACGTTTTACTGAATATTTTAAGCCCACTGCTGATCTACTGCTCAGAAAAAAAAGATCCTTTCAAACTATTACTGCCCAGGGCTTCCCTGGTGGCGCAGTGGTTAAGAACCCACCTACCAATGCAGGGGACATGGGTTCAAGCCCTGATCTGGGAAGATCCCACATGCCGGAGAGCAACTAAGCCGGTGCGCCACAATTACTGAGCCTGCGCTCTAGAACCCGCAAGCCACAACTACTGAGCCCACGTGCCACAACTACTGAAGCCTGTGCACCTAGAGCCTGTGCTCCGCAACAAGAGAAGCCACTGCAATGAGAAGACAGCGTACCACAACAGAGTAGCCCCTGCTCACTGCAACTACAGAAAGCCCGCACACAGCAACGAAGACCCAATGCAGCCAAAAATAAATAAATAAATAAAATAAATTTATAAAAACCAAAAAAACAAACTACTACTGCCCACTGACAATGCACCTGGTCGCCCAAGAGCTCTGATGAAAGTGAACAATGAAATTAATGCTGTTTTCATGCCTGCTAACACAACATCCACTTTGCAGTCTGTGGATCAAGTAGTAATTTTGACTTTCAAGTCTCATTATTTAATGAAATACATTTCATAAGGCTATAGCCTTATGTATGTATTTAATGAAATACATTTCATAAGGCTATAGCTGCCATAGATAGTGATTCCTCTGATGGATCTGGGCAAAGTCACTTGAAAGGATTCACCATTCTAGATGCCATTAAGAACATTTGCGATTTATGGGAAGAGGCCAAAATGTCAACATTAACATGAGTTTGAAGAAGTTGATTCCAAATCTCTTGGATGACTTTGAGGGGTTTAAGACATCAGTGGAGGAAGTAACTGCAGATGTGGTGGAAACAGCAAGAGAACTAGAACTGAAGCCTGAAAATGTGACTGAGTTGCTGCAATCTCATGATAAACTTTAACAGATGAGGAGTTACTTCTCAAGGATGAGCAAAGAAGGTGGTTTCTTGAGATGGAATCTACCCTGGTGAAGACTGTTGAAATGACAAAAAGGATTTAAAATGTTAAATAAACTTATTTGATAAAGAGTGGCAGGGTTTGAGAGGACTGACTCCAATTTTGAAAGAAGTTTCTCTGTGGGTAAAATGCTATCAAACAGCACTGTATGTTACAGAGAAATCATTCAAGAAAGGAAGAGTCAACTGATGCAGGAAACTTCCCTGGTGTCTTGTTTTAAGAAATTACCACAGCCATCCCAGCTCTCAGCAGCCACCACCCTGATCAGTAAGCCGCCGTCAACACTGAGACAAGACCTTCCACCAGCAAAAAGTTTACGATTCACTGAAGGCTCAGATGATGGTTAGCATTTTTTAGCAATAAAGTATTTTAAAATTAAGGTATGTACATTTTTTAAGACATAATGCTATTGCATACTTAATAGACTATGGTAGAGTGTAAACATAACTTTTATATGCACTGGGAAACCAAAAAATTCTTGTGACTTGCTTTATTTCGATATCGCTTTATGCAGTGGTCTGGAACCTAACCTGCAATATCTCTGAGGTAGGCCTGTATACAGCTCCTGGAACTTTTCAGCAGTTGGCAATCAGGAATAATTCAATGTGATATTGTCTTAGTACATTTTTATTGGTATCAAATTATGGATGGGAAAATTAAGGCTGTATCCAAAAGAAAGAATTGTGGTATAGAAGATTGAGCTCCAGAACTGTTATTGAAGGTTCCTATCAAAAACGTTTTCAGAGCTTCCCTGGTGGCGCAGTGGTTGAGAGTCTGCCTGCCGATACAGGGGACACGGGTTCGTGCCCCGGTCCAGGAAGATCCCACATGCCGCAGAGCAGCTAGGCCCGTGAGCCATGGCCACTGAGCCTGCGCGTCCAGAGCCTGTGCTCCGCAATGGGAGAGGCCACAACAGTGAGAGGCCCGCGGACCGCAAAAAAAAAAAATAATAATAATAAGTCAACCTTTTGTGTTTGCAAAGACCCACTTTGCAAAGTGTGTATTTAAAAGGTGAATTTAAAATGTTTTGAAGGTACAGAATTTTTTGTAGGTCTAACCAAAATGAAAAGGTGCAGGTCTAAAGTAATCGCAAATTTCTTAACACACACTGCTTCCAAATAAAAAGGATTTTTTTGGGCTTCCCTGGTGGCGCAGTGGTTGAGAGTCTGCCTGCCGATGCAGGGGACACAAGTTCGTGCCCCGGTCTAGGAAGATCCCACATGCCGCGGAGCAGCTGGGCCCATGAGCCATGGCCACTGAGCCTGCGTGTCCACAGCCTGTGCTCTGCAATGGGAAACGCCACAACAGTGAGAGGACCACATACCGCAAAAAAAAAAAAAAGGATTTTCTTTTTTTTTTTTTGGCTGTATCAGGTCTTAGTTGCAGCACACAGGATCTTCATTGAGGCATGAAGGATCTTTCGTTGCAGCATGCGGGCTCTTCCTGGCAGGGCACGGGCTTCTCTCTATTTGTGGCATGTGGGTATTTTTCTCTCTCTAGTTGTGGCACACAGGCTCCACAGCACGTGGGCTCTGTAGTTTGCGGCATGCAGGCTCTCTAGTTGAGGTGCGCGAACTCAGTAGTTGTGGCACATGGGCTTAGTTACCCTGCAGCATGTGAGATCTTAGTTCCCTGACCAGGGATCGAACCCACGTCGTCTGCATTGTAAGGTGGATTCTTTACCACTGGACCACCAGGGAAGTCCCTAAAAAGGATTATTTAAAAACAAAAAAACCCAAGTTTTAAGATTTATTTAAGAAAAAGTCAAATGTAATAGGGAGAAGTAGGTGAATAGGAGCTAAGACAATGAAGAAGGTATTTTAAACAGTAATGCTGATTCCACTTTTCTTTCTAGACTAACATACAAAGAGTACCAAAAATACAGTGATGTCCAATTAACAAGTATGCTAAATAAATATGAATTTCCTTAGTTTTAATTATATTTAAATTGTTTACATTCAGAATATAGAAGTAGAAAGCTAATCAGTCCAATCATTTCACAGTTTGTAACCCCAAATGCAAAATGACAGGCCCAAAATTTTCTTTTTCTTCCTCATCTAGGTGCAAAGTGAATCCATCTTCCTCAGAAATCTGTAAAGGCCTTCTCCAATTGGTAACTCTTTTTCTATCTCCTTGCGGATACAGACCACTTCACTATACATTCTACCAATTTTGAATATTAGGTAATCTTTATGTGTCATCTCTTGACCAGTGTCTATTCTGCTCTGGTAACAGTATTTAACTTTCCCGTGTCTATACCTAAGTATAGCCAGATTATACCTAAATATTAGCTCTTTAGGGGAAAGTGCTATGTCTTTAATTCTTTTTATCTCTCATCTCTTATTTTTTAAGAGACATACTTGTATGTCCTTCAGTAACATTTAATTATATGACAATCCTTGATGGCACAAATAGTTCATCATTAGAATAAATATGATTAGAAAATCAGTGACTACTTTTTAACTACTGCAAATCACAGAATGAAGAGCTATTTTTGGTCTATTAGAAATTATATTTTAAAAACAAAGATACATTACCTCATAAATCTTGTTAAGGTGTTTTGCATGAACATGCATACGGCCATTCCATCCTTTAAATAAGAATAAGCACAAAGATACAATGCAAATGTATTATATAAGAAATTATTAAAAAACACTTTCAGGATTTAGAAAGTAATAAAGCCAAAAATATACCAAACTTTATAAAATGAGGTTATCATTTAAAACTCTTTGAAGCTGTCTGAAATGCAAATGATGCAGTATTTAATTGTGTGGATCTTCTAGGGTTCCTTGAGCTCAGCTTTGCATGAGCTATTAGTAAAGACTTAGGTGTGAGAGAGAGTAAATCTCACACCTAAGTCATATACCCCAGAAAAGAGGGGAGTTCTACTCAGGGTAATTTGGAGGAAAGAGGCATAAGACAAACCCACCTATTATCCCAAACTCTGATCCCCCAAGA